CCACCCTGGAGGCTGCGAGGCCCCCATGGAGAGCCCAAGTCTGGGCGGACAGCTGATCGACCCCATGAGGGACCTGGGGAGCACCCAAGTCAGGATGGGGACAGGGGAGGAATTGAGCAGGGGCTCCAGCTGCCTCCTGGGCTCTGGTCACTCACTGCTTTCAAATACTGCACCCAAGGCCCCTGTGCCCTCCCCAGGAGGAGTCAGTAGTCATTGACCTGGGAGGAGCTGGGATCCCTGCTTTCAGCTTTCAGCTCCGTTGATGCATCATGGATTCCCCCTTTCCTGAGCTCCTGAGTGCTAGGGTCCTCTCACCCCACCAGAGGCTGACCACCTCCTGCAGCCTGGGGACCTTGGCCTCAGAGCTCACCCTACCCTTCCTGTCTCTCTGCTCCTGCCCGCTTGCCTGCTCCTTCCTGCTTGAGTCGGCTCCTGCCACCACGGCAGCTGACCTAGCTCAGCCCTCAGCCTGCTCTGCCTGAGCTTGCTGCACCATTGCTCCATTTTATTTATTTTTTTGCCTCCGAGGCACCCCATTTCTTGGTCTGTAGGTCAGTGTGGGAGTGTTTCTGATCCTGGGCAATGTCTGGAGAAGGTGTTGTTGGTCTTACCTGGGGGTGACTGGCTCCTACTGGCTTGCACGATAAGCACCTTATCTGCTGCATTGTTTCCCCGCCCCCCCTTTTTTTTTGCTTTTGGGCCGCAGCCTGTGGTGTTGGTCTAGGGGCTTCTCCTGGTGCTTGGTTGTCACTCCTGGTGGAGCTCAGGTTCAGAGGATGCTGCAGTGCCAGGGGTCCAGTCCTGGGTTCTGGCATGCAAAGGTGCAGTCCAGGCCCCTGAACCATCCCCACTATCCTCTTTGGCTTCTTTTTTTTTTTTTTTTTCTTCTTCTTCTTCTTCTTGTTTTGGCCACACCCAGTGTTGAGCAGGGATCACTCTTGGCAGTGCCTGGGGGGAACCAGATGGGATGTCAGGGATGCAGTAGAGGTGGCCACAGGCGACACAAGTGCCTTACCCTGTGCTATCTCTGCTGCCTCATCTGGGATTTTTCAATACCCTAAATTCTTCCCATTCTGAACACTGCCCCCAGCTCCCAATCAAGGAAGCCGATCATGCAGGGCAATTACCTCCCAAACATTCCTGCTTCGCCCCATCATAGTCAACCCTGAAGTTCAAGTAGCCGAGCCTGAGCAGGTACCAGAGGTGCCCCAGAAATGCTCCATTCAGGCACCTCTGCATGCCACGGGAGCTTGCAGCCGGACGCATGGGCAGCGTCAAAGCCATTTTCTGTCCGCAACCTGCTGGGGCACTGGGCTGACCAGGTCCCTTGCCTTCTGCTTGCTCCTCCGCCTGTTCTGCACCTGCTGTCCGGCCCCACAGGGCAGGAGGGGAGGGGACAGGTTGCTGAGGGTCAGTCTCAGCCGTCCTGTCCTTTGCCTGCAACCTCCACAGCCAGGCAGCCCCAGGGAAACATGTGCCCCCAGGGGGTGTCCACTCATTCTCAGAGGCCAGAGGCCAGGGAGTCCTGTGTTTGGACAGTTTTTCCTGGGGCCCTGCAATCGGAGAAGACTGCTGTGCTCCCTGATACAGCGCTGCCCTCCTGAACTCTTCTAGTTCCCAGCACAGACTTTGCTTCTCGTAAGGTGGGAGGGGCGGGGACATGCTCAAAGCCAGGGGCTTCAGGAAGTTGGAGTCCAGCTGGGCTTAGAGAATGCTCACTCCTTATGGCCTGGCTGGGCCACTCCTGAGTGTGAGCCAGTGAAGAGCCTGGAATAGAGAATCTCCGTGGAACATGAACCTGAAGGGCTCCGTCCCACCTCCAGATAGGAATGTGTGAAGAACTGCATCAATCAGCGAAGACCAGGAGAGACCTACCAGCATGGATGCCACCTGCTATTTTTTAGATTAGTATGGTTTTTATTTTGAGGGGAGGGGGGTCACACCCAGCGGTGCTCAGGTCTTCCTCAAGGGACCATTCGAGGTGTCAAGGATCAAACATAGGTTAGCCGTGTGCCAAGCAAGTGTCCTATCCACTGTACTATCACTGACTTTTAATTTTTTAATTTTTTTTTGCTTTTTGGGTCACACCCGGCAATGCACAGGGGTTATTCCTGGCTCTGCACTCAGAAATCACTCCTGGCGGTGCTCAGGGGACCATATGGGATGCTGGGAATCGAACCTGGGTCAGCTGCGTGCAAGGCAAACGCCCTACCCGCTGTGCTATCTCTCCAGCCCCTGACTTTTAAATTTTATTTGAAAACTTTTCTTAGTTTTTAGGCCACATTCAATGATGCTTGGGGCCTGTTCCTGCTTCTGCCTTCAGGGATCACAGCTAGCTGGCTCAGGGGACCATTTGGGATGCCTGGGATGGAACCCAGGTCACTGCTGTGTACAAGGCCGTGCCCTACCCGCTGTGCTATAGCTCTGGCTCCAATCTGACTCCTTCTTATGCTCTGTGTTTCTGGTTCTGTGTATCTGGTTCTTCCCTTCCGGCAAGATCAAGAACTGATATTATGGGCTCTACCTGTCCTGTTCCAGAATCTGATTAGTGCTTGGCACCAGGCAGTGCCCAGAATATGGTCTGACTCTCCCTGAAAGAGGCTCCAGGGAGGGCCAACAAGATAATGCTTAAAGGCCTGGGAGACAGCTCAGAGGGCTGGAGTGCACATTATACATGCAGGAACTCAGGGTTTGATCCCAGCACCACGGGGAGGGTAGCCACCTCCTGCAGCAATAAATGAACTAGCCCCCGCCATCCCTCCCAGCTGCTTCCTTTGCCAATGCCGAAGCCAGAGCAAATTAGTTTTCTTAGCATGGAGTATCAGTCCTCTGAAACCAAGGCTGGGGGGGGGGGGGGGGCGGCGCGAAACCAGGGTCTTAGGGATCCTACAAGGCTCGCGGCTCTCAGGGAGTGGCTGCAGTTTCATCCCTTGCCCTCGGGACACCGGTTTCTGGAATTCCCAAGGGACCGAGGGAGGCGGGTGGCATCCAGTGTGAATGACTTGGTCCTGCATTCCCTTCCTGCAACCCTGGAGCCCTTCCCAAGGGTGGAGGGCTGGATTCTGCAGGATTTTTCACTTATGCTGGGTCTGGGCTGCTCTGGTGACCAAAGAGACCAAAGCAGGTTCACAGAGGATGAGGAAGTGCTGGGTGACCCCAAAGGTGCACATGGGTCTCCTGGGAGGCCTTTTTTTTTCTTTTTTTCTTTTTGGGGTCACACCCAGCGATGCACAGGGGTTACTCCTGGCTCATGCACTCAGAAATTACTCCTGGCGGTGCTCGGGGGACCATGTGGGATGCTGGGAATCGAACCTAGGTCGGCTGCGTGCAAGGCAAACACCCTACCCGCTGTGCTATTGCTCCAGCCCCCCCCCCCCCTTTTTATTAACTCAACCATCCCCTGGCAGGTACTGGCCTCTGCTGAAGGGGAGGTATCTGAGCTCCAGCCAGAGATGTAGAATGGCTCAGGGGAGGGGTTCATCCCAATACCTCCTGAGATGCCAAGGAAACTTGAGGCTTGTAGGAGACTGAACTTTCTGCACCCTGCTCTCCGCCTTCCAACTCTGCGCGCCCTGAGTGAGCTTGGGAGAAGCAGGAGCCAGCTCCCTCTCTTCCCTCGGAATCAGAAGCAACTCCAGGCTTCAGAAGTGCTCTCTGGAGGGCGCTGAGCTCCTGGTCGGTGCCCTCTCGGGAAGGAGGGCAACTGACTCTGAAGTCCTAGAGGGGGCAGGGTCGATGGAAGAGGGGTCCCAGGGCTATGTTAGTGTGGGTGTGGTTACCTTCTGGTTGGGGTTGTAAGGCACCCCCTAAGGCACTGCCTCTGCCTCTTGGGGGTAGGACCCTGAGTGCTGGCCCCCCCAGGTCTCCTCCATCTGTCCCATAAGTTTTCTGGGGTCTTTCCCCTCTCCTTTCACCTGGATCTGAGCTCCTGCTCGCCTCTGCAGAGGTCACCTGGCTTTGGGAACCCCTCCCTAGCCCCTCATTTTAGAACCTGTGTTGCCCCAATTCCCAAAATGTGCATCTTCACCTTCCTAGCTAGAGTTTATTTTTTTTTTTGGCACCGTGCCCCACCTCCAGAAGCCCCGCCTTCCACCTGGGACTGGGGATGTGATTGGGTCACACCCCTGCCCGTCTGCTGCTGGGAGGAGGGGTTTCTGGTTCCTGGAAACAATGAAGCGTCCAGGGGCTGACCAGGGGACTTGGGCAGATGGAGGCCAGCGGCTGAGCACTTGCCCTGAAAGCCTGTGTGTAGCTTTGGGTTTCATCACCCTCACCGCCCCCCCCCCCCCAAAATAAAGCAACTTGGGGGAGAGGTGGGAAAATTCTTGGAATTGGGAGACCCTCCCACACACCCCCATCCCAATAGCTGGCCCCTCAGGGGCTCACACAGAATGGATGGAGTGGGATGGGGGGGGGTGCCCTGGGCCCAAAGAGAGCCTTGGGCCTCTGCCTCCTCCACCCCCAGGTGTCTGGCCCAGCCTCAGTGACGATCACCTGAGAGCAGCTCTGAGCTGGGCCTCACCTGATGTCCTGGGTGGGCGGAGCATGGGAACCTGGTCCTCAGCTCGGGCTACCCTGAGGGTGTCTGGGTCCCTCTGATCACCCAAGTACTGTGGGGTTGGATCCACCCCCTTTGGTTGTGGTACCACCCCCTCGCTCCACGGGCTCCATTATTCCCAGTTTGCCAATCCCCGCCTGGGGCCAGCGATATGCAAAGGAGGGGAGGGGGCCCGATCTTCTGAAATGCAGGATCACAAGGCAGGGGCCTCTCTTGGTGGAAGAAGCAGAGGCAAGGCCAGGAACTCGCTGGGGGCTGTGGTTCCAGTTGACCTTCTGAACCTGCCTTTTATCTCCGAACCCGGCCTCCCAGCCCCTCCCCAGCACCCCCCCTCCGCCCCCCCTCCAGGTGCCCATCCCAGCCCCTCCCCAGATCCCACCCCCACCCCATCCCCGGAGCCCAAAGCCGCCTCCCCCTCGCTGATCGCTCTTTCTGTCCACAGGTTGCTCAGCAGGATGTCCTCGGATGACCGGCACCTGGGCTCCAGCTGTGGCTCCTTCATCAAGACCGAACCGTCCAGCCCGTCCTCCGGCATCGACGCCCTCAGCCACCACAGTCCCAGCGGCTCCTCCGACGCCAGCGGCGGCTTCGGCCTGGCCCTGGGCACCCACGCCAACGGCCTGGACTCGCCACCCATGTTCGCGGGCACCGGGCTGGGCACCACTCCGTGTCGCAAGGGCTACGAGGACTGTGCCAGCAGCATCATGGAGGACTCGGCCATCAAGTGCGAGTACATGCTGAATGCCATCCCCAAGCGCCTGTGCCTGGTGTGCGGGGACATTGCGTCCGGCTATCACTACGGCGTGGCCTCCTGCGAGGCCTGCAAGGCTTTCTTCAAGCGGACCATCCAAGGTGGGTGCCGGACGCTCTGGGGAAGGTTTAGGGGGACCCCTTCTCCACTGGTGCAGAGATTCTGGAAGGCCCCCCTTTTTTGGGGGCCATAAGGTGTCAATGCTTGACTCGTGGAAATGAATGCATCTCCTGAAAGTGAACCCCACGTGCTTTACCACCAGGGTGCCTTTCCCTAGTAAGGGGGACACTTGCGAGTGAAGTGCGTGCACCCCAAAAGCCCGATCCTGGGGGAAAGTCATGATTAAGTAGCATCATTTGCCCTGCAGATCTGGACCTCTGGGAATATAAAGGAATCGTTTCCTCATTTTCAGTTGTGCCTCTGAAATGATTCTTGGGCAACGTCCTCCCTGCCCCTTCTGCAGAGTCTGTCTCAGCCCAGCGGGTCCACCTAGGCCCGTGGCCATCTGGACAGCTGCCTATCTGCTGATCCCTGTTTCGATGGTCATGGGGACTGTCCTTTCCATGAATGTGGAGGGGATCTTCCTGATGGGTGGTGTCTGCAAGCTCCCCTGTCTATGGAAATGGGGCTTCCCGGGACTGTGATCAAGTTCACGGACCACGGCCCAGCCCAGAGGCACCTTAGCCAGCCAGTCCTTCTGTCGGGTTACCTGCTGACCCCCTACTAACTCACTCAGAGAGCCACATTTTTCTTCTCCTTCCTTTCCTTCTTTTGGGGGGCTTGTGGAGGGGGGTGATGGTGGAGTGGGGCACACCCAGCTGTGCTCAGAGGCTACTTGTGGCTCAGTGCTCAGGGATCACTCCTGGCGGGGCTCAGGATCATACGTGGTGCTGGGAAAGAACCTGGGTTGGCCTCTATTAAGGCCAGTGCTCTAACTGCTCAGCCATCTTTCTGGCCCCAAGAGCTGCATCTTTCTTAACTCCTGCCGGTGAAGGTCTTGGCAAGCGAGGGTGACTTGGTTCTAGGTGCGGGGGAGGTTAGATGAACAACTGGGCTCAGAAAACTGACATGAGCCTGCGGGAGCCCGTGAAACCCTGGGGTTCACCTGTCCTTACCCTGCCCGTCTTCCAAGGGCCCTCATACCCCTCCCCTCCCCTCTTCTTCCCTGTAGCAAAGCTTGCCTGGATGATTTTCAGTTTATTCATTCAACAAATATTTATTCGCTTTGATTTCTTCGGATGATTATTTATTAAACCTTTGGAGGGCATTCGGATTGGTCCTGTTTCCAAGTCTGTTTGTTACTTGAGATGGTGTGGGATGGGGTGATGCGCCCTGGCCTCAGATCAGACAGCTCTGTAATATGGTACACTATCATGGTTGTTATTAGCAGTAGCTGAATAAACACTGGCACGTTTGAGTATTTTTAGTTTTACACCATCATTTAAGACTTAATGGGACCTGAGAGATAGTACAACAGGTAGGGTGCTTGCCGTGTAGGTGGCTGACCCGGGTTCGATCCCCAGCACCCCAAAGGGTCACCAGGAGTGATCTCTGAGCACAGAGCCCTTAGTAAGTCCTGGAGCATTGCCAGGTGTGGATCCCCAAACAAAAAGAGTGATCCCTGGGGCTGGAGCAATTGCACGGTGGGTAGGGTGTATGCCTTGCATGCAGCTGACCTGGATTCAATTCCCAGCATCCCATATGGTCCCCTGAGCACCGCCAGGAGTAATACCTGAGTGTAGAGTCAGGAGTAACCCCTGTGCATCGCCAGGTGTGACCCAGAAAAGAAAAAAAAATCCATGAGCACCAGAACCACCACCACATGTGGCCCAAACACTCCTCAAATTATTAGTATTAAGACAACAGACAAAAGGGTTTTTTTTTCTTTTAGTGTTGGGCCTCACTTGGTGTTTGGGAGCTCCTCCCAACTCCACTTAGGGACCTGGAGGTGCTGGAGATTGTACCAGACCCTTCTCCTGCTCACAAAGTGCATAGAGCTTCCTCTCCGCCCTTTGAGTTAACTCCCCAGACCCATATTTGTTTGTTTCTTCATACCGAGCATCCCTTTGAATTGGATTTAAGCAAAATAGTTATCACCTGTGTTGACCAGGATTTAGAATATTCTAGTTATACTTGATAATTGAAAAGCAGAGAGAGAGAGAGAGAGAGAGAGAGAGAGAGAGAGAGAGAGAGAGAGAGAGAGAGAAAACCCAAGGCTTGCAGAAGGGCAAATCTGTTTTACTGTAGTTCCAGCCCCACCGCCCTGTAGCTTTCCCAGAAGGAGGCTCCGTGCCAGCTGCTCTCAGCAAATATTGATGGAGCACCTCCTGTGTGGGGCCCGGGCCAGCCCCCAGCTCCCGTCTCAGCACCGCCGTTTCTGCCAACCGCACAGCCCCAGCCCCGGGCTCCTCTGTCTAGGAAAAACACTGCTGGGTGCTTCTGCTTGGTTTCCTCTTAGCCCTTTGCAGCCCTCTTCTTTCTAGGCTGTCCACTCCTCGGTGGATACTTGGCAGAGCAGAAAGTTTAGGCCAGCTGAAAGGACCAGAAAAGGAGTGATAGTACAGCAGATAGGGTGTTTGCTTTTTTTTTTTTTTTTTTTTAATGTAGGAGTACTGCTATTTATTCAGCCACTGATTAGGCTGATTGAATTGGGCATGAACGCCACCTTACTTTTTTTTTTTCATTTTTTATAATTTTACTTATTGAATCACTGTGAGAGCAGTTACAAAGCTTTTGGGTTTAAGTCTCAGTCATACAATGAAACACCCGTACCTTCACTAGTGCCCATTTGCTTTTGCGCACGACCACCGCGGGTTTTGATCCTCAGCACCCTGTGTGCTTCCCAGAGCACTGCCAGGAGTAATCTGAGTACAGAGCCAGTATTAAGCTCTGAGCATTAGCAGGTGTGGCCCCAAAACAAACAAAAGAAACAAAAAAAAAACCCCAAAGCCCCTAAAATAACATTTTTTTCCCCTTTCTTCCTTGGGACATGGCTTTGATGAAATTTTAGACTCTTTGAAGAAGTGAGTTTTGGAAAAATTACCTTTTGCTTCTCTATACTGTTCTTAAGTGGGTGGAAGTGTTCGAGACCAGATTTGCTCCAAGGGGAGGCTGTGTAGGCCCCCTACCCCCCATCTCTGCTCCCCATCCCCTAGTGGGGGCCTGGTGCCACTGAGGTGCCTTCCACAGGTGTCCACAGGCAGGACTTGGCTTGAGTCTGAATTATTTGCTTTCAAGAGTAGGATAATGATCTCTTCCTCGAATCAAAGGACAAACAGCAGCCATGGGTGCAGTTACAAAGGGGCCACCTTGTTTCTTGGTCATGAGAAGGGTTTCACTTTTATAACCAGAAAGAAGTTTCCATCTGGGACAGGAAGAAAATCAGCTTAAAGCCGACGGTTCGTTCTGGTTCTAGAACTCCAGTTTTGTTCTCACACTCTGAATTTGTTGTTTCTGAATGTACTACATGTAAAACAAAAAACATATATTTAGACAGGGCTAGAGAAATAGTACAGCAATTAAGGCTGTTTCCTTGCCTGGAATGATCCTTGTTCAGTCCTTGACTTCTCATGAGCACAGAGCCAGGAGTAATCCCTAAGCATCACTGGGCGTGGCCACACACACACACACACACACACACACACACACACACACACACAGCAAAGTGAAAAGAGGAAAAGTCAAACCTTTTAGTAGATAGCCACACAGGAGACAAGCTTATGAGAGTGTGTTGAGTCCCTAGAAGAGGGAACTTTGTTTTCTTGCTGGGGGGTGGTGGTGGGTGGTGGCGTCTTGAGTTCTGGCCGGGCTTGGGTCAAGATGCTGCTTTGTCCCTGACTTGGGGATGGTGCGTGTGAGCAGGTGGACCTCTTTTTCTGGAGGAGTGTGCGTGTGTGTTGGGGGCGGGGGGGAGGGCAGACCATTCTGGCAGGACTATGCTTTGCGAAGCTCGGGGCACCGCTGAACCTGGGTTCTCTGTCCCTTCTCCCAGAATGTGGGTTCGGTTCAGGGGCCTGCGGGGGTCTCTGGATGCTCTTCTTCAGGGGATCTTCTCCAAAACTCCCATCTCCATGTCCAAAACACGGGCTTCCTTGAGGCTCTGCTTCCTTGTTGGCAGGACTCCAGGGAACCCTGTATGGTGTCAGGATCGAACCTGGGTCAGCCGCGTGCAAGCCTGTTATTATTATTATTTTTTTATTCTTCTGGAGCCACTTTCAGGGGCTCGAACAGCCTCCGTGCCGTGAAGGCTCCTAACCTAGTGCCAGGGAGTTCTCAGATTCTGCCAGCGCATCCAAGTAAGCAGATTTATTTGCTGGCTTCCTGCAAGGGTTTTTGATGGCACAGTTGCTGTGGGCACTGGGGAAGGGAGGCTGGTGAGACCGACGGGTAGGGAGAACCAAGTGAGGCTCGGGCTGCAGACTGCTCGCGTGTGCTTTTTTTGTTTGTTTGTTTTGCTTTTTGGGTCACACCTTGCAATGCACAGGGGTTACTCCTGGCTCTGCACTCAGGAATTACTCCTGGTGGTGCTCAGGGGACCATATGGGATGCTGGAAATTGAACCCGGGTCGGCCGCGTGCAAGGCAAACGCCGTACCCGCTGTGCTGTCTCTCCAGTCTCTCGCCTGCGCTTTTAAAATCAAAATTGTTGAGACCCAGCCACTTCAAACATCCCTGTCAGCTGGGCGCTTTGGTTGCTGAAGTGGATCCCAGATCTTTCTGGACGCAAAGCCCAGAGTATTTGCTCTTCTCTGGCTTCTTGGCAGGAAAAATGGATCTTGCCTGCACTCCAGGCAGTCAGCCCGTAGATGAAATTCTCCTGGCCTTGCGGGTTTTGGGACCCCTCCTTACCTGTTAAATATTGATCCACTATTCATTTTATGCTATGATGGGTATTGTTGGGGTGGAGGGAGGTAGTGGTGACCCCCAGATAAATGAGCTCAGATACTGTGACTCAGGCAGAGGTGATAAAGCTGCATCTGATTATATTGATTAGCTTATCTAAAGAAGAAATCCCTTTGAAGATCAGCTCTGAGGCTCCACCTTGCCAGCCCAGGCCCCACTTCAGGCTGCTGGAGGTGGGGGGTTCCTCTGGGTGGCCTGAT